TCTTATCTCTGTTCCCAACATAATTTTTCTTAGCTTGTTCTAATTCTTCAGTATGTCTCTGTAGCAAAAGCATATGAGGCAATATAATAGTGATTGTAGTACTTTACAACATAGTAAGTAGTCTTTTGTCTCATTTGGGATAGAGCTGAGTATACATGACCTTGAACACTACAGTTCCAAAAAAATGTTTTTTTTTTCATCCCGCTCGCCAAAGATATACATGTATCGATGAAAAATTTCACTTACAAAGGACTCCTTACGACGTTTAGGAAGCAGTTACCAAACTTGCTTCTGGAAAGTCTTTGTAGAGCGAAACGCGTAAGAGCTATTTAGGGGAGTAAGCCCCAGGAAACAGTATTTTCTTGTAATGGTCATTTCATCATAATTTCACATAAAAGACAAGCTGAAGATTGTGTTATTTTCTGGATGATGTGCGCAATTACAATATCTCTACCAGCTTGGTAATTGAACTTTATACTGAAGGAGCTGGCTGGCTCTGGAAATGTGATGGCATTAGATTTGTTAAAATTTACCTAAAAGCTATGAAAAAGAATGCTTGTCTTTTCCTGTATATATTCAGTGAACTTTACCGAGCACAGATGTTGTGCTGCAGTCTCATGTTGTATCTGCTAGAATTGAAGAGTTGGTAATAATGCACACTAGTATCATTTTACGCAAAAACTGTCAGGTGATCTATGAGTGCTTCAGCTAAAAGAAACCAAAGATAAAAGCTTCTTAATGAGTACATATAATCTCCACTTGGAGCTTGAAACATAATTTGCAACGAAAAGACACGATCACAGAAAGAAGGCAACTGAGAGAGGGGGTTGTGTTTACAAAGATTCTCAAATGTAATCAATAATTATCTTAGAGACAATCTCGTATACGGTAATCAAATGACTTCAAGAGGACTTGAGAAGGGAATGCTTATGCTCATTTTCTGTAATGCACTGACTCACTATAATGAAGGAGTAAGAGACTGCATTTTAGCCCTTCCGGAAGTTTTGCTACGGCTCACAATCTGTCGCTTCCATTTACAATTGCTACTCGCAGAAATCAAGTTTGATTTAACCTCATTATTCTCCTACTTAATCAGCTTGGTCTACATGTCAATTATTCATTAAGGATTGTCAAGTTCAAAGAATGATGTCGTCCTATACTGCGACCATCTTCTGGTTATACGGCTGCAATCATCAGGAAGGTCTTCTTCTTCAATGGGTTGATTCAGGTATATCTTCTGATGACTGAAGCGTCTCATCACTTTTTGAACTTTTTAGGCATGCATTGGGAGCAGTTCAAACATCTTTACAAGCAGCACTTTAAAGTGAATGCAGGAGTGCAGAGGGGTCTAATTGATGGCGACTTTGAGCTGCTGAAGTATAAACTGCAGTGTCCCGACTGTCAGTCGGGTGAGGACGGAGCGAATATCGGTGGAATTCAGCGTGAGTTTTCTTTAATCTCTTTAGGGTCCGATTCAATGGATAGATTATAGTTTTTAGAGATTGTAACTTTCAAAAATGTCTTATGTCCTCACCTTCGCTACGAATGCGGTAGTACAAATGTGCGATTTTCGGTAGGTTGCACAGATCTGTTAGTTATTCCATTGGATTTAAGTGGTATAATTATTATTACCTATAATTAATCTTCAGGTTTGGCGTGGAATGCTGGAGTTGCTGCAGATATTTCATGATTCTCGCAACAATGTACGAAAGCTATGGGAATTGGGACTACTTTTGGGATTTCTCGAGTTTGATGAGGCGGGTAGCTTGGCTCTTACTTCAAAATATATTAAAAAATGAACAAAAATTAGGTGGATAAACTTTTGGAGCAACACAAGTCCGCCTTGATCATGCGGCTGTCGTTTGTCACTGGAGGGACTATCTGCTTTACTGTGAAATCCACTGCTCATACACTGGACCACCGCGCGACTCGTCCCATACATCTGGAGCCACTGGATCTCAAACGTCTCCAGACAAAATGCCTGAAAGATTACTTGAGAGATATTGCTGATGCAGAAAAGGTGGGTTGTAAGCTGTCTAATGAATTTACGCTAACTAAGTTAAGTTGCAGGTAAAATATATTCTAAACTCTGCTCATCAAGTGATTCGGATTACGGAAGTCCTTGCACAGTTAGGCGAAAGCGAAGCTGGTAGTGTAGCTGCAGGAAGTCGTGACATCTCCAGCAACGTTACGCATTCTGGTGACATTGCAGCAATGCAACACATCAGGTAGTTTATTCCATATTTATTATATTCCATGAATGGTTTTTGTTAAAGGTTTACCGCTATGAGGATTGCCGTTGTGACATGCAAAGTAAAACCGCCGTCTGCTGATCAGCTTGAAGTCGACGTGGAGAGGTACGCATCAGTTATGAATAAACTTCATAGTATCATGCTTTCCCACTACTGGAGTGAGAGACAAAAACCTCAAAAACTAGACCACATTTTTAGTCCTCGCCGAGTGCCATCCGT